AAAGAGGAAAACGGCTGAAGGGGTAGAAGTGTGGGTGCCTTCCCAGACCCCCGGCGTCGTGATTTTTTCACAACGTCGACGCCCTGGGATCTGGCCCCATTCCCCGGGACCAGTTTGTCATCCCGAGTCGTTTCCTGACGGTCCCGAGGCCCGGGAAGGGTCCCCAGAGGCCGAAACCAGCGAAAAACCTCCCGTTGTGACTTCGTTCGCAGCGCAAGGGGGGCCGGGTTTATGCCGTTTTTTTTTGTTCCTTGAACCATATGGGGCGTCCGAGCATGCCGGGCTCCACGCACCGAGCCAGGACCTCGGCGCTCCAGGCTCGCGCGCGCAGGCAAGTGTTGCTACATGTTGTTTTCCCACCAGAAAAGCGTGGAAACACGTGTGCACCACGCCACCCTGACGCCGTCACCGACCCTCACAAAATCCTGGGATTGAAGAGCAGCCCGCCACTGGTAATAGACATGCTCCAATGTCCGATTTTGTTCCTTGAGCATGCCCCCTTCCCCGCCGGGGGAGGGGGGGGGTCCCGGGAGGGGTGTCCCGGGGGTGTCCCAGGGGGGGTCCTGGGGGTACCCACGCGCGACTGCGCGCTGCCAACTGCGGAAAGGGAAACGGAAAGGAATGAGGAGGAGGAGGAGGAGGAGGAGGCGGAGGAGGAGGAGGGGGGCGGAGGATGAGGAGAATGAGGAGGATGAGGATGAGGATGAGGAGGAGGAGGAGAGGAGGAGGAGGAGGAGGAGGAGGAGGAGGAGGAGGAGGAAGGAGAGGAAAGGAGGAGGAGGAGGCCGGGGAAAGGAGAGGAGGAGGAGGAGGAGGAGGAGAGGGGGAGGAGGAGGAGAGGAGGATGAGGAGATTAGGAGGAGGAGGGGTATGAGGAGGAAGGAGAGGAAGGAGGAGGAGGGAGGAGGAGGAGGATGAGCAGGAGGTTGGGAGAGGAGGAGGAGGAGGAGAGGAGAGGAGGCGGAGGAGGAGGAGGAGGAGGAGGAGGAAAGGGAGGAGGAGGAGGAGGAGGGGAGAGGAGGAAAAGGAGGAGGAAGGAGGATGGGAAAAGGAGGATGATGGAGAGGAGGAGGAGGAAGCCGGAGGGGAGGAGGGAGGAGGATGAGGGAGGAGGATGAGGAGGAGGGAGGAGGAGGAGAGAGAGGAGGAGGAGGAGGAGGAGGAGAGGAGAGGAGGAGGAGGAGGAGGGAGAGAGGAGGAGGAGGACATGAGGGGGAGGATAGGAGGAGGAGGAGAGGAGGAGAGGAGGAAGGAGGAGGAGGAGGAGGATGAGGAAGAAGGGGAGGATGAGGAGGAGGGGAGGAGGAGGAGGAAAGGAGGAGGGGAGGAGGGGGAAAGGAGGAGAGGGAGGAGGAGGAGAGCAGGAGGGGGAGGAGGAGGAGGAGGAGGAGGAGGAGGAGGAGAGGAGAGGAGAGGAGGAGGAGGAGGAGGAGGAGGAGGAGAGGAGGAGGAGGGGGAGGAGGAGGAGAGGCGGAGGAGGAGGAGGAGGAGGAGGAGGAGGAGGAGGAGGAGGAGGAGGAGGAGGAGGAGGAGGATGAGAGAGGAAGAGGAGGAGAGGAGGAGGAGGAGGAAGTGGTGGTGGAGGAGGAGGAGGAGGAGAGAGCTCCGCGCACCGAGCCGGGACCCGCGCGCTCCAGTCCCGCGCGCGCAGGCAGGCGCGCGCGCAAGCGCGCGCGATGGGGCAGCAAAGGCCCTGGCGCCCGCACCGTGCTCGGCGGGGGCAGCTCGGGGACGCGCGGCCCCCCGAGGAGGCGCGGGCTCGACGCGAGGAGGAGGGGGGAGGCCACTTCGCCACAATCGACGCCCTCAGGGCAGGAGGTCCGCCCACCCCCACCCGAGGAGCCCCCGCTCCAGCGCCGTGCGCCGCAGGGCCGTGCCGCCCCGAGGGCCGAGAGGGGCCACGACGCTCCGCGGGCCCCTCCCGGGGCGAGGGTCGGAGGCGCCTCGGGGAGGCGCCCGCGCGGCACGGTGCTCACGGGGCGTCCGCGCGGAGCCGAGGCTCGGCCGAGCTTTCTGCGGGGTCTGGCCGCCAGACCCAGCAGAGATCTCGCCGCCTCGACTGGCGCCAGAGCCAGCAGAGAGCTCGCGGAGGCGCGGCTCCGACCGGCTCGACGAGGCGAGGCGCCAGACGGGCGCCTCCTCCAGCCAGTCGGAGCCACGGTCGCTCACTTGTGGGCCCCGTGGGAAGGCGCGGCGGCTGGGCCGCCCCCCCCCCCCCCGAGCCAGGGCGCTGAATCCGAGCTTCGACCCCGTGCCAGCTCTGGAGCAAAACCCAGCTGGCCAGGAGCTGTGGGCTCCCGCAGGCAGCAGGTGCCTGGGACGCCAGCAAATCCTGCGACGAAGAGCCACGCCGAAGTCATCGATGCGGGCATCACTTGTTGGGTGCGGAACTTGTCGCGCTGCTGTCGTGCGGTACATTCATCGGCGTCGCAATGGCATACGGGGATGACGGAAATACATCAAAAAACCTGCGCTCCGGGCCTCACGGATGCGCTTCAGTGGTCGGTGAACCGCCCACTATGGCGAGGCCCACATCCTGGTCAACATAAAGATGCAATGTAAAAGATTAGACAGGTTCTGCCAAGTGAATGACTGACACGATCATGCGCACATGCGGTTTGCGCGTACGGAAACGCGTCGCATCGCGAATCTCGTTCCGTTCTACAACAGAAAGAAAGTAAGAAGACATCGCATCGCCCCTGTCCCAAACAACCTCCTCATAATCATCTGCGACCTCCCATACGTCTGATGTCGCCCACGACCCAATTAAGCTGGAACTCGTATCCAGATCCTCCTGCCCTACCCTTGGTGACAGGAACCGACGCCAACAAAGCTCATATTTTCCCATGACGTTGCTACGGCACCGTCGTGATGAACCAACCCAATATACGCGATGAGGAGTAAAGGACATGCACAACGGCCAATTTGGGAAAGCCGCTCAATGGAGGTCGCTTGACCGTCAAGGAGTAACCACTCTCATTTTGCCACAATTTCAGGCAAGTGTCCGAAGGAACTTGGCTCGTAATAGCGTCTTACTCACCAGCCCTGGAACAGACAATCGCACCCACATATGCTTTGACTTGAGCATTATTTCTGCAAAAAAAACTTACGAGTGCCATGAACATCGATACTGCCAACGCGAACTTCCCATCTCAAGTCGATGTGGTACGTCGGCGCACGTCGGCCGTAGTGAGCCTAAACCCACGCAAACCACCTGCCCAAGAGGATCGTTACCATCTGGGATTTAGGCTGAGCGCTCTCCACTTGTAGTTCATGGGCACGCACATGTTTTCGTAGTGCCTGTGGCATACTATATGGTTGAGTGCCCATCGGTAAAATCAACCATACTATATGTGCCGAATCATCTGGGACACTTGTCATGGTTTCCGCGTTTCGAAAGCATAATGAAACAATGGCCAAAATACGCCCTCGTAACCGTCGAATGCATTCGTGCATATACTAAACCGTGGTCTCCTGCATGATGTGCACACCTGGCCCGCTCGATATAAACGCACATAGCACGTAGCAGATCCCGTCCTTGAATCCAGGGGCCAAGTCCTATTCGCGCACTGCGGAGCAGCTGCTCAGACGTTCTGGGCTTTGCCCCCGTCGCAGTGTACCTGGGCGACGTCGTGCGCCACCCTGAGGGGGGCCCTGAGGCAGTTGACGCGCGCGTCCCGACGGCCCCCAGCCAGGGGGGCCCTGAGGCAGCAGACGCGCGCGTCCCGGCGACGCCCCAGAACTTGAAGGACCCTGAGGTTGCGGCGATGGCAAGGGCAGAGGCGCAGGCAGCCCAGGCAGCGCGCGACGCAGCAAGGGCCGCTGCAGGACAACAGCCTGCTGCAGAGCAAGAGGGGCCCGACGCTGCCGCTGAGGAAAAGAAACCCGTCGGCCTCTGCACCAAGATCGGCGGTGTGCGTCTATAGAGGGAAGAATACCCCGATCTCGGTGATGGTGGTAATAGTGTGGCTTCCAAGGTGACCGAACTATTGCCACCGACACCGAAATCTAGGATCATCTTCCCCATGTGGAGGCAAACCCCTGTGTTGGTGTTGATGCCCATTTCTAAGCCTCTGCGCCGCAGTCCCGAGCGAGGCCCGCCCCGTCAGGCCATGCAGCCAGCGCCCAGCCGCATGCCGTGCCCCGGACTTCGAACGCCTTCGGGCCGCGGGGCGCAGGCCTCGCGCCGCCCCGAAGGAGAAGGAGGAGGAGGGGGAGGAGGAGGAGGAGGAGGAGGAGGAGCTATGGCGCTATGGCCGAGGGCACAGAAGAGGATCCCGACTGGGCCTCGGAACGGGACACGGGCGCGACCACGCGCCCGAGAGGGAAGGCCGCCGCTAGTCCGAGTCCCCTGACTCGGGCTGAAGTGGCGGCGCGGGAGTCGAGGGAGGGTGGGGAGCCGCAGGCGCTGGCCCGCTCGGAGCCGCTGTACAAGCTCGCGGCTCAGGGCCCCGACCCTCCTCTTCCACGACTCCTCGAACGACCCCGACCGCCCCGTCCGCCACCCCCGTCCCCGCGACATGAAGAGACTGAGCGGCGGCCTCGTGGGCAATCGGGGCGAGCCTGAGCGGGCCTAGCGCCTCTCCCGTCTTGTGGTGGCGCCCTAGCTGGGCCTGCTGCAGCATTCTCTGAATCACCGCCCCCCGCGCCCCACCCGCCCCAGCTCCGCCGCCGCCCCTCTCACGACGAGGCAGACAGGCACGGGCGAGGCCAATCGAGAGTCGGTTGGGCCGCGCAGCATGCGCGCCACAACTGGCACAGATCAGCACGCGGTCGAGCTCCTGGACCAGATGCCCTGGGCCGAACTGCTGGGGGTCACACTCGCGGGGCGCGAGGGATTTGAGAGACGAAGGGGTCGTGGCCTGCCGCCAGCGCTGCCGACAGCCGATAGCGCTCTCGGGGAAAACACAGAAATCGTCGGTGGTCGCCTTGTGCTCTCTGCGCCTTCGGGGAGCAGGCGGCAGCGGCCGATGGACTACGGGGGGCGCGAGTTTCGCCACCCGCTCGGCCGCAAAGGCCAGACACCGCATCCACTGCTTCGCCTGCTCCAGCTCAAACTTAAACCCACGGACAACAGAGGGCGACCCCGCCATGTCAAGCGCGGCCATCTTCGCGAAAAGATCAGCCCACATGTTCCCGAAAAAGTTCTCAAGAGGCTCCCCCGAGGACAAGCACGACGCAATGCCTTCATCCACGGACCTGCGAGCACGAGTCCAGGAAAAACGGGGGAGGCGCTCTAAATCATATTCATACAGCTGGTGCAACTGACGCCAAACACTCGCGTGGGGGGCCGCGGGCCGAGCATGCCAGCCAAACCACTGGGCCCCCTCTTGTGCCAGCGCCAGGTGATCGGTGACGAATACAGACGGCCTGGACGCCAATTCAAGGCCACGGAGCGCAGCGAAACGCTCGGCCCTGGGAACCGTTTGGATGGGGCCTCCGAGGCCTCCGAACACAGCTTTGCACGGCACGAAATTCGGAGTGACGGCCACGACGGTCCATCCACACCGACGGGCCTCGGGGAAATCACTATCAAAACACGACCCGTCTCCGTGCAGCTTAGAAGGCCATGGTACCGCACGGGCACCCCATTCTTTTACATGCAAAAGGCTGGGCTCAGGCGGCCGAAACAGCGGCCTCATGTGCAGGGCGTAGAGCAGGTCGACCGACGAGAAATCCCACTCCCGGCCCACGCCCGTCTGACCCTGCTGCCAGATGCCCTTCCTCACTTGCAAGACGTCGTCGGGGCACGGGCTGTGCTCCCCATCCCCCTGCGCCTCGTGCACCGAGCAATAGAACAACTCGTGCTCCAGGTCCGCTGGGGTGTGTCCGCAGAACTCGCACACCGCGTCGTCTGTGTATCCTGCCTCCTGCCTCCGAGCTGGGGTCCACATGCCGTGCGACTGCAGCTTGGCCAGGGCCCCTCGCAAGCCTTTGGACATCCTCTGCAGATGCCCGTGCCGTAGCGCCCTGATCCAGATGTGCTGCCTACGTCCTTCGGCGTCGCGACGCGGGGCTCCAGGCAGGCGGTCCAGGATGCGATGGCCCTGCCAGCGCTCGATGCTCAGCTACATGTAGTGCTTGACCTCGCTTGGGCACACCCTGAGAAGGTCGATGCCCGCTCCGAGGTCGTCGACAAGCGCCGTGGCGCTGATCATGTCCCAGCCGACTCTCCCCAACGTGAGCCACAGCGCCGACAGTGGGCCACGGGCGCTGGCCCACGTCACTGGGGAGCTGAGGTCATCACCGGAGATGGTTCCGCTGGGCCGGAGGGGGAAGAAAAAAAAAAAGAAAAAAAAAGGAGAGAAAGAAAAAAGAAGCGAAAAAGGCCAAGCACAACATAACATGGAACACACCACAACACACAAGCAGCAACCAACACACAGCAAGCACAACACACAGACACACAGTCAACAACACACACACCCACACAAGCAAACCCAACAAAGGAAACCGAAACCGGAAACCGAAACCGGAAAACGGAAACCGGAAAACGGACAACACAAGGGGGAGAAGCGAAGAAAAAAAAGAAAAAAAATGGAAGCGTAAAAAAACTAAACAAAGAAGAAAAGGTTAACGAAAAGGAAAAAGACAGGAGGGAAGGAAGTGACGAAAGGAAATCTGAAAGAGGTCCGGACGGCAGACGACAAGAATCGGAAAACGGAAAAGAGAAAACGGAAAACGGAGAAGAAAGACGCGGGGGGTGACGGGAGAGCACCGGAACCGGAAAACGGAAAACGGAAAGCGGAAACCGGAACCAGAAAACGGAAACGGGAAACCGGAAAGGGGAAAACGGAAAACAGCGAAGAGGGAAGCGGAGGCCGACGGGAGACCACCGGAATCGGAAAACGGAAAACGGAAAAAGGAAAACGGCGCAGAAAGACGCGAGGGACCACGGGAAAGCACCGGAACGGGAAAACGGGAAACGGAAAACGGAGACCGGAACCGGAAACCGGAAAACGGAAAGCAGAAACCGGAAAACAGTGAAGAGGGAGCCGGGAGCCGACGGCAGACCACCGGAATCGGAAAACGGAAAACGGAAAACGGAAAATGGCGTAGAAGGACGCGGGTGCCCACGGGAGAGCACCGAACCGGAAACGGAAAACGGAAACCGGAAACCGGAACCGGAAAACGGAAACCGGAAAACGCAAAGCGGAAAATGGAAAACGGAAAACGGAAACCGGAAACCGTAAAACGGAAACCGGAAAACGGAAAGCGGAAAACGGAAAACGGAAAGCGGAAACCGGAAAACGGAAACCGGAAAACGAAAATCGGAGGAGGAGGAGGAGGAAAAGGAGGAGGAGGAGAAAGAGGAAGAGGAGGAGGAGCCTCCTTTCCTCCTCTCTCCCTCTTGCCCCCCCCCCCCCGCCCCTCCTCCCTCCCCGTTCCCTTTGCCAGGCTTCCTCCCTCCCTCCCTCCTCCCTCCCCCCTCGTTGATCCTGCCCTCACCTCCCTGTCTCCCTCCTCGTTCCCTCCTCCTCCTCCTCGTCCCTCTTCCCGAGCGGAGCCGGCGCGCGGGCTGGCCAGACCGAAGGACAACGACGATCTGATTTCAAGAAGCCCCCAAACCGTTCCAAGACTGCTCCAAGAGGCTTCCGAGACCTCCAAAGAGGCCCCCAAGAAGCCAAACTCCTTCAAACACCAAAAGAAAATGAATGATTTTTGCTTTCTCGCCTTTTCGCTTTTGATGGCCATCCGAAGCCTCAAGGTGCATCCAAAATGGCCAGGAGAGCCCCAGGAGGGGCCCAAGAGAGCCCCAGGACGGCCCCAAGAGCGCCCCAAGAGCGATCCAAGAGAGGTCCAGGAGGCGATTGTCGGTGCTCCCAAGGGGGGAGGCAAATTGAAGCTCACCTTTTGTGATCGATGTCCTCCAAGATGGCCCCAACAGCGCCCCTAAAGCTCCCAAGAGCGGCCCAGGAGGGTCCCAAGAGGCGCTCAGGCAGCCCGAAGATGCCTCCAAGAGGCTCCCGAGAGACCCTATACGAGGCCCCAAGAGGATCTCCGAGGTACCCAACTCTCCCTCCTTCTCCTCCTTCTCGTCCTCCTCGTCCTCGCCCTACTCCGCCTCCTCCTCCTCCTCCTCCTCCTCCTCCTCCTTCGACGACGACGATTCCTCCTCCATCCTCCCCCTCCTGCGGTATATGACGGCGTCCCCCGCCCTTTGTCCTTCTGCATGCTCCCCCATTTCTCGTATCATCTCAACTCTCCTGGGCATCGTTTCTGGATGGGCTGGTGGGGATATGTGAAGCGTCAACAATAGCAGCGCGTTCATCGATTACCGATGACACATCCCGCCAGTCCTCTGGGCGGAGGTGGTCTACGGCGTTTCCTCTGGTAGCTTTCCAGAAACCCCTCTCCCTACCCTCTCCCCTGGACCTCGCCGCACCCCCTGCAATATTCTGCAAAAGAGATCAAAAGAGGGGTGCAAAGATTCCGTGCTGACCCTGCAACACCCTGCAATACCTTGGAAGACGACCCTGCAAACCAAACCCCTGCAGTACCATGCAATACCCTGCAAACCACCCTGAAATACCCTGCAAAACGACCGCGCGCCCTCTGGGTGGAGGAGATCAGAAGCGGTTCCTCCGCACGCTTTCTAATCCCCGAGCCCGCTGGGCGTGAGTGGTCTAGCAAATTGCCTTTTCCAACTCCCCTGCTTCGCCTTCGGGGTGGGGCCTATCATTTTTCTCATTAGAATGATACCGGAGAAAAGACCCAATCAGGGCTATAGGGCTAGGGGGCTATAGGGCTATTGAGCTATAGGTCTATAGAGCTATAGGGCTATAGAATTGTAGGGCTGTTGGGCTATTGGGCTATAGTGCTTAGGGCTATAGGGCTATAGGGCACCCCCGGGCACGCCCGGGCCCCCGGGCACCCGGGCCCCCTGGCCCCCCCGGGCACCCCCAGGCACCCGGGCGTGCAGCGAAAATCGGCGACAAACCTAACCAAACCATATGAATCCGCTATGACCCCTACAGAAGCAAGCTCTGATTGAGGAAAAAACACCCCCTCCCTGGCCCGACTGGCAGCCAATCTGGATTCATAACGACACCCATGGCAACACCCCCCACAACATCCCGGTCAAAAACCATACAACATAAACTTTGCCTCTGGAGCCTGGAGCATGCGCGGGCATCCCACGACCACTTAGCATGGGGTCTTGACAAGGACGGCGGCGGTGCCGGCACATTGTTCGCCGCGCGCACACCCGCACACAACAAACCCGCCGTCACTGTGGATGGTTTTTGACAGGGACGGTGGGAGGGTCGACATATTACCCAATGTGGCGCACCTGGCCCGCGTGGCGCAGCTGACATGTGCGGCCCATCTCGCGGGCTTCGCGCACCTGGCTGGCGTTTGCATTGGTTCCCGATAGCTGTCGATGGTGGCCCCTGTCCATGCTGAAACTCGGGTGCTTCTTATGTGTTGGGAGGGCGGGTGGAAAAGGAAGGGAAGGAAAAAAGAAAGAAAAAAAAAAAAAAGACAAGCGAGACGCTTGGTTGCTCCGTGGTAACACTCTGGCGCACGCGTCGTCAATAAAACACCCCTCTCCCGGCTCTCCCCCCAGGCGACCGGTGGCCCGGCTAACCCGAGCCATGCCGACGCCCCCCCCCACCATCCCCTGGTATATAAAAAATAAATAAAATAAAAAAAAAAAAACAAAAAAAAAAACTCTGCCTCCAAATTCGGAAAATGCGGGCAGCCTGACCCGATGCGGCCCCCCCCAACCACCTGTCAAAAAACAACGATACAGAACCACTTGGCGGCGGCGGCCGGCTGGCTGCGGCTGCTGCGGCTGCGGCGGCGGCGGCGGCGGTCCGCGGCGGCTGCGGCTGCGGCGGCGGCGGCGGCGGCAGCGGCGCGCGGCGGCGGCGGCTGCGCGGCGGCGGCGGCGCGGGCGGAGCACGGCTAGGGCTGCGCTGCGGTTGGCAGCGGGGGCGGCGCGGCGCGGCGGCGGCGGCGGCGGCGGCGGCGGCGCGGCGGCGGCGGCGGCGGCGGCGGCGGGCAGCGGCGCGGCTGCTCCCGGCTGTCTTGGAGTCCAGGGGCAAGCCGGTTGACGAGCTTCAGGAGGGAAAAAACACAGTCACAATTAATTGTCGATCCCCCAGAAAATATGGAAAAATATGGGAAGTGTGGGGGATGACAAAAACCTAGAAAATATATGAGAACATAGGGAATCTGATTATTTGTGTGTATTAATTTGTGTGTCCTGGGGCCCCTTCAGAGCTGGTCGCCTGCGTGTGTGCTCCTGCGGCCGGGATCTGCCAGAGGTCGAATGGTCGTCTCTGTGCTTCCCACCGTTTGGCGGGAGATCCAGCGCCGTCTCGCGTTCGGCAACGCCGATGTGCTGCCTGGCGCGGCGTGAACAGCCAAGCGCGAACGCCACCGGCACGAGCACTACCACTGCTACCACCAGCGCGGCCACCACTCCCACCGCCGCGACCACTACCAGCTCCGACACGACCACCACCACGGGCCCGACGACCATTAGTACGGCCACAACCACGACACGCCGCGATTCCCATGACGGCCTCACCACGACCAGTGCGGCCGCGGTGCCCGACGCGACCATTGCCGCTCCCGGGCCCGACGAGCAGTCGCACGACCACCGCCGCGACCATTGGAGCCTTTTGTGGAGCTTCCTACGGGGCCATGAAACGCGTGAAGAATGTATCGCCTTGGGTGCGGGGCCGCCATGCGAACGCAGCTCCTGGGGCCTCCGGTGGAGCCCCCTTTTGGGCCGCGAAGCGTGCGAGGGTCGTGCCGACGCGGGCGCGGTGCCGCCTGGCGAAAGCAGCCACTGGAGCCTTCAGTAGAGGCCCGCCTAGGGCCACGACGCTTCTGAGGGGTGTGCCGAAATGGGCGCGGTGCCACCGTGCGATCGCAGTGGGGCCACAAAACGTGTGAGGGGTGCGCCGACATGGAGGTGGAACTGCGTGCGGATCCTGTCACTGGGGCCTTCGGTGGAGCACCCAATGTGGCCACGAAGCGCGT